TTATTTTGGAAAATTCATACAATATTAGTAATAGACACATATGAATGTTTTGTAGTCATTTGATTTTCAAAGGCATTTAAAGCAAATATTTCAAGGTCAGCTTTTTGCAAGCATTCCAGTACTAACTCTTCACCATACTTCTGTGAGCTACTACTGCAGCAGTCCTTGAACTGAAGATCTATTTAAACACTCAGGCCTTATATTCTCAGAAATGTTATTTTTCCACTACAGACTGAAGAGACTTTCACGTGTAGGAGAAACAGGTCAGAAACACAAACCAACAATAAATATATTTTCAGAACAAATAATTGACAAGAATGAATAGATAAGCTGATGCAATGGAAGAGTTTCAATGCAAAAATAAACTAAATACAACAAATAAAGCAACCTACTGTAGAAGTTATAGATACAAACATCCTTCTGGGCCAGGTTGCCCATCTCTATGTTCATGTAGGACTGTTACTGTATTCTCAGGTATAGAGACCAGTCTGAAGGGAAGGCCTTCTAATACAAAAGTGCTGCACAAAAATAAAAGTGAAAATGCAATTTTCACATTTAGCACCACTGATGTTAACCACTTAATGGGAAATTACCTGCTGACTGAGAAAGTGGACACATGTTTACTACTGACTATACTGGCTTTTGTCCACAGTAAAAGCATAACAGAAACATGACACACAACATTGCATTGTCTCTCTCCTGTGGAGTAAAGATATCCTGAGATACCTTAGAAAAGTGAGAAAGAATTAGGGTTTGAGAAAGAATAAGCTGTCTGCTAGGGTTGTTTGAAACATCTGTTTTGACAGAAGTGTTTCATTTCAAGTTTTGTTTAGTTTTGAAAACACTGTTCCATTCAGTTCTGTTACATTGAAACGGTTTTGCTGTTTCAACATTTCAATCGGGATAGGGAAGGGAACTCAGCCTGATCGCAGCACTGGGGAGGGGAACTAAGCCGGGCTGAGTTCCCTTTCCCAGCCCAGTCTAGTTCACTGTATCCCTGTGTTCCAAACCTTTCATAATATGGAATCATCAAGCAGAACAGTATTAATTTTATTTGTTCTCTTAAAAAGATAAATGATTGCAGATTGCACACAGGATGGTAACATTCCTCTACTCTACTTGTTTGCTTTGTTCTCTTGGTTAAAAGTGGTACAAGAGTACGCAACAACCTTACTTTTGGACACCCAAATATGCCAATACCATTTTGCTATAAGAACTAAGCAGGCAGGTGGCAGAGTTGGACCATTGCTGGCTTCTTGGTCACCTTTTTTCCCTCTAATGCTAAGAAGTTTGAGGTAAGCAATTCTGGCATACTTTACCTGTTTGACTACATCCCAAATCAAGGCCCTGTTCCGTGGTGACAGATACCAAAAAGGGCTACTCTCAGCTACACCAACCTTCCCCAGGTGAAATCACACTCAGACTCCTAGGTGAATTCCCATCCCTGGCTTCCATGCTCAATAGCTCCTGCTCCCTTCTCAGGTTTCTGCTTTGCTCCTCTATTTGTAGTTGAAGCACAAGTCATCTCTGGGTTTTCAGTATAGCTTCCAACCAGGAAAACTCCACTATTAACGCTTTCTCCTTGACTCAATCTTTATTATCCCAGAGATGGTAGAACGAGACACGATCATCTACCTGGGCCATAAATGCACTTTATTTGCAATTTACCTGTGGGACTGCTCTTCTTTTCCCAGGTGGGGTTTACTAACTTCATCATGTGCGACAGAAGCATAACACTCAGCATGCATTTGTGGAACCCTCTAGAGCCTACTACTATAATTTCAAGGTTAAAATCAAAGTAAAAGCTAGAACCGATATCCCATCATCACGGAAAATAGTCTTCCTGCTGCACATCAACACAAGACAAGGTAGTTTGTAACATAGCTTGAATGTTAGTGATTTAGAAATAGTCATTCCCCTATTTTATCTAGTGCCAGGACAGTACCCCTCTGTGGATTGGCAGTAGGTCTTGTAAGGGAGCATAATTTCACAACTTAAGCTAACTCAGTCTTTCTTCAGTTGGTGTTTCTCTAACTTTTATAAGTGCAGGTCTTTAAAATTATTTTAACCCATACCAGTTAGAATATCAAATTGTAAGTGGAGACCAGAGGCTTAGCAAGCTTTCACCCCTGAAGTGGGGGTGAGAGGAAGAGAATTATAATAACCACTAGAGAGTAGGATAGGGAGAGTCCTATATGCCAGGGCTCTCCTTGCTTGAGCAGCAGCCGCTACTGCTGTTGCCAGAATTGCATAGGCTGGGCTGCTGCTGTTAAAAGGACTGGCAGCAGCACAGGTGTCTCTGGTGCCCCATTCACTCCCCAGAGCAGGGCTGTGCCTGCTATTAGAGTCATTTGGGGGGCATTCCACCCCACTGCTCCCCAACACACTGCTGGGAATAGCGCTGCAGCAACCATGGCAAAATCCCAGGATTGGTGTCCCACTTGCCCTCTCTAGTTACGCTGCTTGTATAGTCTAAGCATATCTATCCCCTCTATATTTGCCTGAAACAGCTACTGCAAGAGCCTCACCTACTCACTCCCACTCCACACACATCAACTCTCCAAAATGGGGCAATGAAGCCACCCAGTATCACCCTTAAGCTTTTAAGTCTCAGATGTGCTCACTGATGTCTGCTCAGTCATTCTAAGAAGACATGAGTATTGCCTCATTTCTGTCATTGGTATCTGCAGTGCAGAATCAAGAGGGCAGGACATACTTAGCTGAAATAAATGCAGGCAAGTCCTATTTCACATAATGCAATTACTTACACACCAAATTTCTCTCCAAGAGGCTTAAGCTCTGACCCCCAAAAATGCCTTAACAATATTCACCATAAGAAATAGATAAAATAGTAACTGTGCTTTAAAGGAAAGTCCATAGAAGCAGGTGAGGGGCAGCAAGTTTAAAGTCCACCAACTGCCAAATAGGATCCTAAGGTCAGGTGTCAAATAGGCACTAGAAAGGGTCAGTAAATTATTCCACTGAGCTTCCTGCTGCCCAGGTGCAATGGGTTTACAGGTCCTTCAAGAATTTGGCTTTTATGGACATCAAACTTCTTTCCACTTAAAATTGATAGTAGATTTGAATGAATGTAAATATCCAGAAATGAAATGGAGGGACACCAGCAGCCTGCTACAAAACCTTTTTTGTAGTAAAACTGGGTTATCATTTGTTGCTGGGGGGTTGTATTGTGGCTAATTATCCGTAAGCGGCTAATTATCAGTTTCCAACTTTTCATCAAACTTTGCATGCTATAATGAGGAAAAAAGTATATTGCAAAAAAATCAGAATTCAAATTCTGGCTCTCCATATGAGAACTGCGTGATTTGTAAGCATTGGCTGGCCTGACATGTTCTTTGGTAGTCTTAGGTCACCAGTTAAGATGACTATCAGGAGCAAGTTCCACTGTGGCTTGTACAGTTGGAAATGGGTAATTATGCTTCAACAGACGGCAAATGATTCAGCATTTTGTGTAGAAAATATCAGGACTGGTGGGGAGTCACAGCACCAGCTAATTTGACTTCAGCAACAATTAACCCACTCCATTAACTAGATTCTTGTATTTTAATGTATGCAAAATAATTTTTAAAGCAACCGCTTTAAGATCTGATCTGTGAAATCACCCGTTTTTGTTATATTCCAAGGGCCTGGCTTATGGAAGGCTGCTTTGATTATACACGTAGTCTCCTGCACAAAGATCTTTGTAGATCTCAGTCATCACATCACTGGGGAGCAGCTCATCAGCAGCTGCATGTATGACAGCCTTGGCGGGTCCCCTTCCTTTCAGAACTATCCACTAAGGAAGCCTCTGTAGCAATCTAGACTCTTTCTGATCTTCTCCCTGACTGGAGAAAAGGCTGCTTCTAAAATCCTGCTTTCCTCTTCCCAGCAGGTTTTGCTTTTAGTCTAGCATTCCCATCAGACTGGAGAAGTACACATGATACATTTCCCATCATGATCTGAACTGGGATAGCCCCCAGCTGGTCTTTAAAGAGAAAACATCCTGCTAGAGAGAAAAAATAAGGTAAATAAAGACCTATTTCTTCCTCCCTCATTCATGGAGTAGCAGCAGCTTACTACACAAGGGGATGTCTACACAAGATGTTTACTGCAGAGTAAGTAGCTCTGAAATAAACATCTACACATGTAGCCCTGTTAAGCCACAGGAAACTAATTAACTCTACAGCAGGATAATAATTGTATCTGCAAATACAAGTACTATCCATCTGTGGCGTTTTTTTGTGCACAGCAGCACATGTGTAAGAAGCACTCAAGTAGTCCTACTGACTTCAATGGGTCCTCTTGCATACTGGAAAAACTACCTAACAGGGGCTGATCTGGACTGCGTATACAGATTTAATTGAGTCTGTGCCTAGCTCTCTGGCAAGTAAGGGGAGGGGAGAGGAGCAAAAAGCTTTTCCATTTTTTGGCTCATATGAAATACCAAACAGAACTCCAGTCCCTGTGTCCAAGGGGTGGCTGCCTCTACTCCCCTGAGACCATTCAGCATTTTCAGAGTAACAAGGAAGGAAGCAAGGCTGTGGGCCCTCAGTAACCACCCAACAAACACAAAGCCACCCAGCCACATGTGAAGAAATAAGCTGCATCCAACAAAGGAGCATAACCCCAATCAACAGGGATGAGGTTAGATGGAAGGGATTGAGTTGGAATTGCCTGAAAAATTAATTCAGCATAGAAAGGAAACAACCCAAGTTTTAAGCCTTAATAAATATTTGTCCGTCTTAACACCCGTCCCTCATCCCTACACTTTTGACAAGTAGCTTTATATGAATGTCATGATCAGAACAGAGTTCTACAGCTTGATTGGGCTGATACATGCAAAAGGGTTCCTGTCTTTTCTGAATTATTCCTGCTCTTAATCCCAATTTTCTATGGCTCTATGATTTTCTGAGCTCCCAAGCTGGCTGTGAAGGGAAAAGGAAAAAAAATAAAAATCTGTGTTTTTCTGAGGTTAGTTTAATCGAGTAATGACACAAGGACAATTTTAAAAAAGCAAACTTTATTACAAATTGTACATCACCTTCAGTGTTTTTTCAGACTATTTCAAATGATCAGCATTCAGAAAAACTCAATGTTCTCCAAGTTTGGAGCTTGTTTGAAATGCAGCTACACAATTAACAATAATAGCTTCATGGCTGCTTTCTGTTCAGCTAAACAAATGGGCGATGAGCCATCTCTTAATGTTCTACCCAAACACAGCCAGAACTGCAAAAAGCATGATTAACCTCAATTCTGATTTTATTTATCCTGGTATAAATATGGAGCAATTTAGCTGAATACTAAATTTATGCTTAAATGAGAATTTATCATTTTACGAAGAATAAGCCAATGAATTCACAAGTGTTTATTCAAAACAACAGCAATGTGCATTCTACAGCCTTCTACAGCTATTGTGTAGCACATTTTCTTATTAGCAGGGAAAAGAGAAAAGACCTTATGCCCAGACCAAGGAAATCTAAAGTCCTTGAATTAAGGTCCTCAGACAGGCTACTCCAGAAACAAGTCATTTCAAACAACAGGGAGTATGTGGGATCAGGGCTCTGTCCACTCCTTTTCTGTACCGACTTTCAGGACACAGAAGCTGGGATCAGCAAAAGGGCTCCATCTCCACAAGTCACTCAATGTGCTCTTTTCCAGTGCACATGGGAAGTAGACGAGAGAAAGCGTGAGCATGTTTAAAGTATAAGAAATATCTAACAGAGGTCAATTGGAAGAGCTGATAAACCAGGAAGAGATAAGAGATACTCAGCTGGCTAGCAGCTTCATGACACTGAATGTGCATTGACTGTGGCTGTCTTCAAGTATTATTGCCCTAAATTACAAAAGGGGAACATGCAAAGGGTACATATTCACACTGAGTTTCAAATTGCCTTTGAAAAATCTTCCCTAAAATGCTTTGGAAATAAAGCATCCTCTGTACTTAACAGGATACTATGTGAAATAGAAGAGAATGAGCATTCACAAAACATTAACATTTGTTAAAATAACAAATAAAAATCAAGACTTTATTGTTTTAAGTAAAAATTTAAAAAAAAAAATCACTTTCCAGTGAATCAACACCGATCATCTCTACATTGATGTGTCACAGTCCTCTTCATAATTTCAGAACTTCAAGAATTAAAATAAAATGCTACAGTTTTAGACTACAATGTGAACAACAGGTGTTAACTGGTGTTGAAACAAAAACATAATGTTCAGCCTGCATCCTTGACAACAGTTCCATACCATAGGTCTGGCTGCAAGAATTCCAGGATTATGGGATTAAGTTTTTTTGTTCTTACTGTTTTTAAATCTTTTCAAAAGGGCCAGATTTTCTTCTGACCCAGCTTCACAAACTTCAACAGACAGACATGAGAACTTGGCCCTGTGTGTTGTGCCAGAACTCTGCCACTGGTTTACACTGCACCAGGGGAGAAAATAGCTCTAGAGTCCAACACAGATGAAGGTGCTTGATCTGTTGTGCAATCTGTGCCCTAAATGCCAGTGCAGTTATCTATCTAATTTCAGTGGCCTGCACACAGTAATTTAGGTACTGGATTATAGTAAATCCATGCTAGAAATCATATGGTGCACTGCATCACCACACAGGCTGCAGAAGTTATGTGACAACTGTCCTTCAAGCAACATCTTGTAACACGGAAAAAGCTATCAAGATGCAGCAGTGTGTATAGGCCTAGCAATCCTGACAATCCTTATAAAAGTGCCTTGAAGTTTAAAAGTTTACTGCTATTCACAGTAGCAACTGAGCTGCTAACAAGGCAAATTTCTGAAGCCAGGTAAAGTTACTTTCCCATGAGCATAAATGTTATAGTCTGTGCCTCGATTTAGGTACTTCACCAAGTTTTTCTCAAACATCAGTGGGTGATAGGCCCCCATGGTACACGCACGGTCATGGAACTTCTGGTAGTAGTGGCAAATGTCAGTCTGTCGTTTAGAAGGGATGAATTCATAAACATTCACTTCATCACAAATAGACATCATAATTATAATACCTATGAGAAGAAAAGAACCATCACTAGTTAGGCTGCTGGAGAGAGAGAGAACAAAACAAATACATTTCTCTTTTAAGAGTGAGAAGAATATCTAACAGGCGTTTATTGGCATAGCGGAGTTGGGGAAATATTAGGGCCATGTGTAATTTTGCCGGATGTTTCATTTTGACGCTGTTTCAACTCGTTTTGAGCTCGAAACTGTGAAAATGAAACAAAATGAAAGGCTTCAAAACAGGCTCAAAATGAAATGAGGGCAGTTGAAACCTTTTGAGTTTTGAACCTGGACTTGCTTGCAGGGAAACAGATAGTAAGGAGAGGGAGGGAAAAGAGTGGGGATGAACTCCTCAGATATTGACATGAGTAACTGGCTGGTGACTGTGATCTTTACCTGAGCTCCCTTCCAATCCCTGTGCTCTGGTGGAGGGATGGAAAAACAGCATAAAAAGCAGCATTGTTTGAACTGAGCTGCTTCCTGTCTTGGGGTAAGTTATTGAGCTGTGTCTTCCAGCAGTTCAGCAGCGTCAGACAACAAAAGTTATCATTTCCTACTTGCTAGCCTGTTCCTAGCAAGTGGGATTCATCAATACCTTTTGCTTTCTATACCCTTTTATTTTATTATTATATTCAATCATTCATTCCTTTCAATTTATTCCTCCCCCAAAATCCTCTTTTTTTGTTAGTCTATTTTGATTTTTTTCCCCCAGAAAAGAAATCTGTGCTCTCTCTCACAATGTGCATTCCATTCACTGTGCAGGGAAGCACAGCACATATTGCATAATATAATATAGAATTTATTCAGGAATACATACTACATACACTTGTATGTATTTATGCTATAATTAAAGCATATATAACATAAAATACACCTACATACAATTATATTATCTACATATATTACATAAATCAGATTACAGAAGAACACAGATTTTCCAACACACCAAGGCAAAAACACTGTTAACATACCATGAAGCATGCTGGCAAGGCAGCTAGCAAGCCTTCAGGGAGGGGCAGAAGAAGGGGTAGAGGGAGAGCTGTAAATTCCACCCCCACTCCCTAAACAGAGATGCAGCCTCTTTCCTACAACTATCAGGTATGAGGCTTCCAGTTCTACAGGCACTAAGGAGAGAGGAGCAGTGCCACTGCCTGTAACAGAGTCTACATCCCCTCCAACAGCACCAGCCATAACCCCTGCCTCACCACCAACAAGCAGCAGCACCAGCATGACAATCTCCTCCATCCCCATTACACTTCCCATGCTGAGCCTTCCAGTGCCAGAGGAAGAGCTGGATCTGAGTGCCATAGCAAGGGAAATTCTGGGGAAGGAGAGGAAATCATCTGGGTTTGTTTTCCACACCCCTCAAGTTTCACCCTAGAGTCAGGTCTCCTTCCCCAGAAGGCACTTTGGAGGAGGCTGATGTACAGGTGAAGGCAATTGGCTCAGCTGAGTCCACTCCTCCTGTTGCTGTGCCTCTGCCTGCTGAGGAGGAAGAAAGTGCAGTTGCATCCACACATGCACCCACACCCCAGAAGCGAGTGGGTACTGTGGTCTGGGATAATTTTGAGTTGGTAGATGATCCCACATATGCTATCTGCCTGCTCTGCTGAGCCAAAGCCAGCTGGGGCAAGGAAACAAAACATATGAGCACCAAGGGGGTGCTGATGCAACTCCATGGGCACCACCCCCATGCCCTTTTTCCTCCTTAGCCTGGCACCAGTGGGAGCATGCCCAAAGGGAAGTCCCCCTCTTGCTCCAAAGCCCCCATCTCCCCAAAGCAGAGGCAGGCCACCCAGGAACAGTGGGGCAAAGACGGACAGAAAGTGGAGCACATTGCAAGGGTGAGCGAGATCCTCCAGAGCACTGGGGAGATGCTTGCTGTCGATGGCCAGCCCTTCGCCTTAGTTGAGCAGCCTGGGTTCAGGTGGCTCATGGCAATCATGGCCCCATCGTACCAAGTGCCCATACGCACCACCTTCAGCAGGACAGTAGTGCTCTCCTTGTATGAGGCATGCAGGGAGTACTTGAGGGAGAAGATGCACAGGTGGCCTTACACTTCACTTTGGACATCTGGAGCAGCCAGGGTGGAGATCACACCTACCTCTCCCTCACAGGGCACTGGTGAGACTAGGCAGGCAGTTGGTGGGCTCTCCTTCAAGCCAAGGTGATGGATGAGTCCCACACGGCAACCAAGATCATGGGGGCCATGAACCATTTAGTGCAGGGGTGGCCTGTTGGGCAGGGCGAGCTCACCCACAGGTTCATGGTCACCAACAATGGGGCCAATATGGTCAAGGTGGTCTGTGATGCCAATTCTGTTGGCAACTGCTGTGTAGCACACAAGCTCCACCTCGTAGTCAGGGATGCCTTGGAGGGGGACAGGGCTGCCAGTGATGGTGCCAGCACCACCAGCAAGCTCATTTCCAAATGCAGGAAGGTGGCAGGCTACTTCTACTAGAGCATCAAGGGGGGCAAGATGTCGCGAAACAAACAAGCAGAGCTGAACATCCTGCAGCACAAAATCATGCAAGATGTGGAGACTCAGTGGAACTCCACATACCTGATGCTTGAGAGGCTAGTGGAGCAACAAAAGACCATCCATAAAATGGCCTTGCTTGGGGAGAGTGAGATCAGCAGCCCCCTTTAACAGAGCTGAGTGGGATACCATCTCCCGGGTGTTGGTGGTCATCAAGCCCTTTCTTGAGGCTACCAAGATCCTCAGCTCTGGCGATGCCCACCTTAGCCAGGTGATCCCTGTAGTGAGGAAACTTCAGAGCCAAATGGGGATCAATGTTCCTGGCTGGGGCAAGCCACTGTCATCAGACATTCAAGCACTGGTGAGGCAGCTGAAGGAGGACATCAGGAAATGGCTTGATCCCTTGTGGTCCAGTACGATCCATGTGCTGGCTACCATGTGTGACCCGAGGGTGAAGGGCAGTGTATGCAGCAGCCAAAGCCTGAATCAGTGGACAGAGGTGCTGGTGAAGAGAGTCAGGGAGGCAGAAGGGTGGAGGTGGGGGGACGCGGAAGAGGGGGATGCACTGTCCCATGCTAGCACGCCATTCACCAGCCAGTCTCCTCCTACACCACAGGTGCTGCCAATGTGGGCCAGGGGCATGGCTTCCACAGTGGGGTCCAGAGGCACCAGACCCCACCATCAGTCAGGTAGCACTCAGGCCTTGGTGGCTGCTTATCTTGCCAAGAATATGAAGCTGCTGCTGTGAGACCCATTGGCCTACTGGGCAAGCCATAGCCAGATGTGGCCAGATCTGGCCACAGTTGCCTGGAAACACCTGTTCTGTCCACTGACTAGTGTTCTGAGTAAGAGGGTATTCAGCATTGCTGGGGATGTAGTGAAACCCCACCACACCTGCTTGGATCCTGGTATGGTGGAGCAGCTGGTGTTCCTCAAGGAGAACCTCCTGCTGCTGGGGTTCCCCAAGCTCCAGGTGCAGACAGAGTGAGTGCCACCCTCCTCACTCCGTCTGTACCTATTTCCTTTTTTCAAAACCATTTAATAGCCTGCTCTCAGAGCTGGAGGGGGCACTCACTGCATCGCTAGCCAGCAGGGGAAGAACATGTCCCTGCTGAGCTCCCATGCCAGGATGGACTTGGAGATATGGCCTGGGGCTCTGGGGAAGGAGGAGACCCCAGGTCCTGGGCACTACCATGAAAACTGCACTCTGCCAGAGTTGGGAGGCCTGGTGAGACTGCCGGCAGCACAGCAGCCCCAGGAAATGCCAGAACCAAGGATCTTCCTGGTGAAAGACAGGTAGGAGGTGCCATAACCTCCAGTCACCACATGCATGCACATGTTTCTGGCTGGGGAAAGCCCAGACCCACCAAGTCTTTGATGGGCCTGAGGCTTGCTGGTCACACTGGAGTTGTGAGGCTCTAGGTAAGCTCAACTTAGCTGCCTGGGATGCAAACTTTTGGGTTGAAAAACCCTTAGTCAGGCTGAGGAAACACCTGCAGTTGGTGTGTATGCTGTTTCTGGATGGAAGGAAGAGTGAACAAGCCAGAGACTGGCATGCAATGCAGGCAAGGGAGCCAGTTAGTGAAAATGGAAATGCAGGCATCAGGGCATGAGGGACAGGCTGGAGGTGGGAGGGGGTTGTAGCAGCACAGGTTAAAGTAGAGAGGTACCTGGGGAGTCAGATGTCTGGCAGGTTGTAGTGTGTCAGAATTCCCATGTCTGTATTGACTCCATTAGTTTCTGTACCTAGGAGGTTGATGAAGCGCAGTTCATAGGCTCATCTGTGAAAAGTGGTTTGTAAATTCCCTTTGAGGATCAGGCCTGAGAGACTGGAGACAGGTGGTGTTCTGTTCTTGTCTTTAATGGATTTACAGTGTGCGCTCATTCCGGTACACAGTTGTTGCTTGGTGTCTCTTACATATTTTCCATCAGGACACTTGGTGCCCTGATGGAGATGTGCATTGTATTGTGAAGATATCTCCATACTGGAGATATTGTTGCCAGGTTTTGCATGTCTTGTCATGGCATGGCCTGGATCCATTCAGTGTGTTTTGGGCTGTAGGAAGTTGGCTTCTGGTGATGAGGTTTCCAAGGTTCAGTGCTTGTTTGAATTTACAACGCACTTTTTGCAGATGAGCTTGTGAACTGATACAGAAACCCAGGGACTCAATATAGACATGGGAATTCTGATGCACTACAACCTGCTGGACATCAGACTCCCCAGGTACCTCTCCACTTTTACCTGCTCTGCTCCATCCCCCTTCTCCCCCCCACCCCAGCCTGTCTCACACCCTGACACCTCCATTTTCATTTTCACTGACTAGCTTTCTTGCCTGCATTGCATACCAGCCTCTGGTTTCTTCACTATTCCTTCCATCCAGGAACAGCACATACACCAACTGCAGGTGCAAGAGCTGATCAAAGCTTCCTATGTGGCCCTCGGCCTCAAATAACTGCCCACCATGGGTTAGTTCAACACAAGTGAATTGTTTGCTACTCTTCACGCTTACAGCAGATCCCCTATATTAGGTGGTCCTGCCCTCGTGTGTCTTTGTGTGAAGCACATGAGTAATTCTGTAATGCAGTTAATGACAATAGGCCAAATGAACTGATAGGTTGTATCCTGTGCAAAGCAGCTCTAAAAGGGTGTTACATGCAAAACAATTAGGGTCTGCTTTATTTTATCACAGTGTGGTATAAAACAGACAGTATGTAACTGGGAACCTAGCCCAAATATTTATTTTCTTACATCCCAGTGAAATATTCTGTATTTTAGAACTGAACAGATTTGTGACATCCGGAAGGAAGACTGAGGGAACTTTTTCAAATGATAGAACAGATTCTTTTTTTTTTTTTTATGTTGCAAATATTTGTCATATTGTATTATACAATACAATACAATACAATAACTGGATCACAAGAAAAACAAGGGGCAGAGCAATTCATCAGAGTGGTGCAGGAGTCTTGCACATGCAATAACCAACAACTATCATTTGCATTATGTTTTGCTTTTAAAGTCGGTGGCCAGGCTATACTAACACACAGTAGCATTAACTGAAGAGCCTTGGAGTCAGAAATGAGTTTGGGTTGAGAAACAAGAACTCTGGTTAGCAGAAATGTGATTTCATTATTTCATACAATGTCCAGTATGTATGCAGGTGTGTTTGTACATATGTGTATATCTTATAAAACAGAGTGCCCTCTTGAGATCAGTAAAGTGATAACTGAGGTAGAACAATTTTGATATTCATCCAGCAAATAAGATGATAAACTTAACTCTTCAGGTCATTTCATTTTAACTTGTTCTTACCAGTTGGTTCCTTTTCATTTTGCTCCCAATTACATAGATCAGTAAAAGAAACAAAATCTTTGCCACAATAGAATATTACATCTGAGAGGAATAACAAGCTCTTCACTAATGTTTTGAGAAGCACAGGGTGATAGCACAGGGTGAAGTATGATTATACTTCAACTTGCTGGACAAGGGCTGGACAAAATGGAATTACAGGCGACCCTCGCCATTTGCGGGGGATACATTTTTGTATCCCCCTTGGAATGGCAAAAACTACAAATAAGGCGCTGCGTTCATGAATGCCATCTACGTTCATGAACTCAGTGCCCCCAGCGGCCGGGGGGCGGAGGGGCACAGCTCCGGCGGTGACGGCGGGAGCAGGGTGGCAGGATCCCAGTGGCAGCAAGTGCAGAGGTCCTGAGGAGCTCCTGTAAGTGTGTAACATATATTTAAAATGTGGGCTCGGCATTTGCAAATATCTGAAACCGAGAATGCTGAACCTGTGAATAGCAAGGGTTTCCTGTATTTCCTATTTTCACATCTGTCATTAAGTCTGACGAGCTTCTTTATGTCAACTCTTGCTTTCAACTACAATGATTCAATACATAAGACAGGTAATAACTTATCCATTTGAAAACTATTTACTGATACCAAGAAAGTTTCTTTGCATGCTAAAAGCAATGGAACTGAGAAACAGTGAAAGACATGAAAAGTTTTTAACAGCCTTCAGATTAGTACCTCCTGAGTGTTGCTCTGGTTGTACAGGTTAGTAATACTAGGCACCAGGAAAAGTTTGCAACTGACAATGTAGCCTGAACTTGTGATTAGGCTGAGTCTGGCTATCCTCTAAATCTATGCTACACTGAAGGTACTAAAAACCTAGTGATTTCTTACTTGGTTAGGCTGCTATTTTGTGATGGAAACTGTATTCAACAGAAGTTGATCATTGTTAGGAAGCTCTAATGGGCTGCTTTGATTCTGATAAACAGAAAAACAGAAACTCAGTTTTTTTCAATGAGTGCAAGAGCCCCGTACAAAATTAATCAACCCCAGCATTTGCTGGACAATTATCTTACCAAGCATTCCCGAAGAAGGTGGATTAGGCTGGATGTCCTCCAAGGAGTTCTCTTGCAGAATATCCCAGAGCTCCCATTCCATCTTTGGGTTCAGTATATAAAAGAGTTGCTCAGGATGCTGACTGCGATACTTCTTATAGGTTTCCAAAAAATTGTAGTCGAGTTTTCTATACCACTTGAAAACAAAAGTAACATGGGAGAGTCATGTTCCCTCTCATCATCATCTCTCCTGATACCATTAACTTAAGAAGTGTATTATTGCTCCCCCCCTGCCATGAAGCCCCATGACTCCTGTTTCAGGTAACAACCTGTCCTCCATCCGTATTCTACCTGCATTCTAACTCACAGAATAGGTTGCTGGAAGGACTCAAGTACAGTGGAACAAATACTGTGCACCAGAAGTGTGAACCCTGGCACAGCATCCACAAAACCGTTCCTTCCAGGAATACCAGTGTATAGCTCTAAAGATAGTATGAAACACATTTCTTCAAAGGTATGATGCAATTGAGCAAGTGTATGACACCAGGTTACCTCAGGTCCGGCTTCAATTCAATTTAGAACAACATAGTCTCACTGCAAAAGCATGATTCCCACCCTCCCCAGGTAATGGAGACATAATTTTTACAGGCAAGGGGATCTGCCACATGGGAGTTTGCATGACTTACATCTCTGTCATCCTAGAATCATAGAATCAATGAGTGGGAAGGGACCTAGACAGATCATTGAGTCTGACCCCCTGCCATGGGCAGGAAGGAGCACTGGGGGTGGCAGGGGTCATAAGACCCCAGCCAGGTGCCTATCCAGTCTCCTTTTGAAGATTTCCAGGGAAGGTGAGAGCCCCACCTCTCTGGGAAACCTATTCCAGGCTCTGGCCACCCTTACGGTGAAGTAGTTCTTCCTAATATCTAACCTAAACCTATCCTCCCTCAGCTTGTGGCCATTGTTCCTGGTGACTCCAAGGGGG